TTATGAATCCGAAAATTCATATATTAGTCCAAAGGTAATGATCAAAGCCTTAATCACTTAAAATTGAAGTAAAATGTTATAATTATTTAAAGAACAGTTTTAATATTATATTTTAAAAACCCGAAATAAAAAAATAATCGTTTGAAATAATTGGAACAAAAATTCGTGTGCTAAAGAAATAAGATTTAATTCAGCGCCAGAAAACTGTTAGATATAAACAAAAATGAAGCATTTTATTTCTTAAAAAAATGTGTTTAACACAAAAAAATGGCGAATAATATCCCAATCCATTAAAAAAAATCATGAAATTACATTCGAATTCGGATTACGAGAGAGAATAGTTGCAGAATCATCCGCCCAAAGATACAGGAAACGCTTGAACCAACCTACTAAAAAATTATCAATTTTAGAGTACAAAAGATTAAAAAGTTATAATTAAAATAAACAATCATGTTAAATGATTCTTTTTAATCCAATTAAATTTTTTTAAGTTTAAATTCAATATAGTGATAACAAAGAAAAGAAAATTAGAAATTCCGTTATATATTGATATATTATACGGTTAAACATATAAACGAGGCTTGGCCACATATAATGTGGTGTAATCGACTTTCATGAGCTAAAAGAACCAATATTCATCTCCTTTTTTTTAAAAATAAAAGCTTAACAATCCGACGTAATAAAATATGCTATTTATATAAAATATAAAAATATTATATTTATTTATTGCACAGTAATTAACGTTCCAGGTTCTCTCTTTTTGGTTAAAGACCAAGGTATAAATTAAACGACACCATTTACTTTCAGCAAAGAAGAAATTTTATTTCTTCCCGTACAAATCATAAATTTTGCTTCTCATTGGCTCACTCATTTTGTACTTAACTGAAACTGCTCAGGGCACAACAAATTACTAAAACGACAACATAGCCTAGCAAAAACCATTGACACAATGAGCGCTTCTTTGCATCCACCACATGTTATCATATGGAGCGTTACCAATACAGTAGTTAAAACATTACTCCGTGAAAAATACTAATTTCTATTAAAATTACAACACGTTTTTCGTGTTTTAACAGGCCAAATCTATATCTTACCAAAAATGATATAGACTAATCGAATAATTAGTGCCTACAAAACTACTGATAGTATTCTTTATAGAATTATATTCGCATCTTTAGCATTTTATAGGCAACTGCTTCTCATCTGAACAAATGGTTGGTTGGTTGAATTTGGGAATTTTGTGACACAAGGACCTAGGCTGGACATATATTGTACAAGTTGTAAAGATGTCAATGGTTATTGCAGGTGAAGAAAAAAAATCTAATCGTTAATAGGAAATAAATTAAAATCCATTGCACATTTCTCCAATGCTTGAAAATCTTGGCTTCCGGTCGATTATAAAGAGAGTAGAGTCATTCAAAAGAAATCAATTCCAGTTGGAAATAAATTAATAATTGCGTTATTATGTAAATTCTCTGCTTTTTTCGACGTACTACACTAGATGCACTTAATCATTATGTTTCTATATCTTTTTTATATATTCATAGATATAATAAAAATATATCAAAATTTCTAACTCCTTTACATTTCATATCTCCGTAACCGACATTGTCGCATAAATATTAACACAAGTTAAGATAATTAATAAAATATTACACATCCCATACCGATACCAGTGCCTATTAACAGCTTCTTTATCTCTCAATCTGGCTTATAAATTTAATAAATCTAACCGAAGTTGCTGTGAAATATCACACGATAGCATAATTATAATTTATGTCTATCATTTTCGCAGCAGATAAGAGGGATAAACTTATTGTAATAACGTATAAAGCATTTAAAACTTACTTTAGTAATTAAATAAACATCAAAATAATTTAACAATTTATTCAACAAAAAGCATTATTCAAACTGACGTAAGTTTAATGCCTTTAATTTTATTTAGAAATATTTTTAAAGTTTCAGATAGGAGAATAATTCAAATTATAACTTAGTAAATCGCTGAAAAAATTACGAGATATTCGAAAAAACAAATAATTTAAATATATTTTGACATTATTTTTTATATTTTTTTTAATAGATTTATTACAAAATGAAAAATGTTTAAGGGAAATAATGCTTATAAAATGATAACACTTCTGTTTAGCTATTTAATCAAGACAGTTCAGAAAATCTTTTTAATTGTAGTTTTCTTACTAATTTGCAAATTTAGTGTGTGGGGGAACAAATGAATATTTTGTTTTAATTTGATACTATATTAAATTTTACCAAAAAGAGTTTCAAAATAAAAATGAATATTCTTTTTTGGTTTTTTTTAAAGTTCTGTTTCAGTTTTGGTGTTTTGAAAATATCAAAATTGTGGTTTGGTAACCAAGACTAGCTTGTTTTTATGCCAAGTTACACCTGATGTGTTTGACTGAGACATTCATTGGTGACTTCTCAACCTAGTGAACAGAGCATGTTTCTATTTACTTGCTTGATCTTTTGCTTTTTGTATTCCTAGGCCAAGTATTTTATTAAGCATTCAGATTAGTTTAGTACTCAGCCAAGTATGCTGTCTTGGTTGAACACTTGTCAGGTATAAACTAGGCATTACTGTAAGCTCATAACAGTCAGTATGCAGCAATGTAATAAGTGACAGCAGATTAGAAGTGTAGTAAACAATGTTCCAATATCACTTTTAAAACACATGGTTTCCACATTTTGACTAATTTCCCCAATTAAAGTCTGTTCCATTTTTTTGTGGCTATTGCCATATTATATTTTCTATATTATATTATCTAGGACTGCTGTAATCTCCTCAAATCTCATTTGCATGATTGGACACATTCTGCACCTCTGCTGTTGGCCATGTAAATGAAGATAAATGTCGCTTTAGGATACTCCTTTTTTGGGCACTTAAGCGAGTAGCCACCAACATGGACTTTGACTTATATTAAAACTTTTATGCAGTTTAAAGGGGAATAATTTCAATGATAGGCCACACAAGTGAGGTGGTCACAAAGCAAGTTTTTACTATATTTCTTAATTAACTGTAAGTTATAAAACATTAAATAGACAGTAAGTAAGCCTTAAACTCAATGTTAGAATTATTACCAACTGTTGCACAATGCCACCCTAAAAGTCTGTTCAGAAATTTTTACCAGTTGCTAACAGATTCACCAATCTTTAAGGGTAGTTAGAGAGTGACTGACCAACTGCTGATGTCATTTACCATTACCAATGACCCAATCAGTAGCATTTCTGAACAGACTTTAATTGACTTCCAAATTAACCAGATCATTTTAGATTATTCTCAAATGTATGCAAAAATGTATGTTTGATCAATCTAAATATTGAGTTTTTATAGTTGATGGAAAGCAAGATAAATGGCAATATTTAAATTCTAATATATTTTTTATTTATATAGAACAGAATTTTATTTTATGATATTACTTTATTTTTAATTTATTAACTTTATAATCTTATTATATAATTTATACAGATAAGAATTGACTGTTTTTATAATGAGCAGTCTTCTGAATGCTAGAAACCAACCAGAAAATTAGAGAATGTATAGAATTGAAGAATAATGGGATAAACTGATACAAGTTAATTCAATTTCAAAAACTTAATATAAAGACATTTTCTCATTTTAAGTCTTTTCTATCAAAAAAATAATACTAAAATATTGTGATATCATATAACTGGGAATAGCTAAAATGTAAATACAGTAGAACCTCGAAAACTCAGCTCTCGATAACCCGGCACTCCGGATAACTCGGCCACACCCTGGCAGGACAAAAAAATCCTTAGTTAATTAATTTTCATTATAGACAGCTTTATAAAAGTATAAAAGCTCATAAAGTATTTTTCTGAGGTCTGTCTTATCAGGTAAATTACTGTACAGTGTATTCATTAATTTTCATTTTCATGTAGTAAAGGCTCTATGCCTTCATAAAGTACGTACTTTTCCTTTGTTTAAGGGTATTTGGGCAGTTTATTCTCTGTTGTATTCTCCAGCAAACAATACATACAAGTACAGTACACTATTTTTTGAGGAAACACGCATACTTATCTTTTTTTAACCCCATTCCCGATAACCCGGCATTTTCACAAACTCGGCCACCCTTCAGTCCACGTTAGGCCGAGTTTTCGAGGTTCTACTGTATTATGCCAAATAACTGCCAGATTAAATTGGGCTACTTTATCCAGTAATATACCAATTCAATTTAATAGTAGGCATTTTATTATTAATAAAATATTGGGCTTTGGGTTGTTATATATATAAAAATTCTGAACAAGAATCTAATGAATCAAAAACATTAGTTTTTCAAGTTGAATAAACCTTTTTGTTGCTATTCAAGGTTGTGTATGATTGAGTAAACAGTATCCCGTACTGTAGTAATTAGGTTTTCAAATCACACTTTATTTTTTCAGTTTTTTATAACGTATCTTTTGTGAAATGTAAATTACTAGAAAATGCTTAGAATTTTTTAAGAAAACACTTGAACTGGTTATAAAGAATTAATTAATTTTGAATTAAATATATGCTCACTCATTTACTATTTGAAAAACTAAAAAATATCATAAAAGATCATCAAAATCAAATCAAAAAATCAAAGATCAATAAAATCATCAAAAAATCAAAATATCATATCATCAAATTTAAAAAATATCATAAAAGGCATAAAAGGAAATCATATTTAGTTTATATATCACTAATATTTATGCCTTAAAAGGAAATCATATTTAGTTTATATATCACTAATATTTTTTTTGAACTTCATTTTATACTAGGTAATCAAATAAAAGTAGAGATTATGAGACACAGTGTGAGGAGTTTGGCAATGCTGTGAACTGGTCATTCTTGTTGCATTGCCAACTTGCAGCATCACAGTCTTTTTTTTATAGCATACCAAACTTCTCATGCTGTTACTTGCAAGTTTTACTTTCATTTGATATGTCAGTATTTTGTAGAATTGTTTTTAATTAAAAAATACAATTATAATAATAAAATTTTAAATAATTTTAAGATATTTAGTAAATTTTTAAATTATTTAAAGTTCAGTAAATGATTGAAAATGACAACTGCTGCTCGTCCAACATTTGAACCTGCTAGAGGTGGTGGTGGTCGAGGAGAAAAGGATTTGAGTGCTCTTTCAAAACAGTATTCTAGCAGAGATCTTCCTGGACATACTAAGTTAAAATACAGGTAAAATTTTTATTTATTTTTAAGTAATCAATATTTTATATCTAATTTATTATTATTGGATCTATAGAATTAATAATAACAATAACTATTTTATTTTGACTTAAAAAAACACAGCAACAAGATCACATTCTGGCATTAGATTACATTTGAATCTAGCCCTTCCCAGGAGTTTAGGATTGCGTAATGTATTGGCATAAGATATTGGCAGATCCAAGAAGTGCAGCTTTTTGCATTTGGCAGGTGGTGATTTTGCTGATGTTAAGTGTTTNAGATAGATGGACCGGCATGACTCTATTCTTAAAGGAAAAGTATGATGTACAGGGGCAAGCCACTACTAATTTGAAAATTATTAAAAAATATGATTGAAAATTGAAGCCCGGCATTCACAATAAATAATTGCTCGTATTAATTCTAATTTCGCTATTGATGTAGAGTTCTTATAAAATTTCGAATAAGAAAATTTAGCTGTAAAATTTTAATCTTATAAATACTATACAAGTTAGATCACACTTCGATATAGAGCATTCTTAAATAACGCCAACGAATATTTGTGAACGGATCTTCCGCATAAATACCGAATAGAGAACACTTCGGTATCCGAATTAAAACAATAAACGATTTTGTATTTCGAACGACATTTTAACACTATATCACGTGACGCTCAAACTCGAATGTAGACCTCGTTACAATAAATAATCCTTATTTTTTGACATATTTCAGTTTAACACACACTCAAATTAATACTGAATTTAGAGGCGAGCAAACGATGGCACTAAATCGAAATTTGTGTATTCATATACACACAGTATATATAAAAGCAGTGTTTTCGGTTTAAAACATTTGGTAACGTCAATTAGATAAATTCGACGAGATATTACTGTTTCTAGATTAGACTGTCAGCCGAACGACCGAGACATCAATACGGTTCCAAGGTACCAGGCATCGAATCCGGGATACAAAATCCCAGGAAATTTTTTTTAAATGTGCAATCTGTCCCGTCCTCGCCAACCGGCCGCTCCCATGGAACCCATGGAATGTCTTTTTCCTTGCTCATGGTTCCACGGTCATGGAAAGAGACCCTATTACTGTAATAAATATAGGACGAAGTAAAAAAATTAAGAAATTATAAAGCACACGTACAGTATAGTGTATTCATACATAAAGTAAAAAGTATTTTTCTACATTTTATTCTATATTATTTTACATTCGAAAAAAAATTCAAATTTTTATGTGAACGGGAAATAGTAAAATGAATTTATAACAGAATAAACCTGAAATTTGCATTAATCAGCGAGTTGCGAATAAATTAATTCGGAAGTTCTCGAATAATGGCCATAAAACTTTGAATAAATTAAATATTAATTACACAAATTCGAAAAATTAATCATGAAATTGTTTTTAAAAGAATGTAAAATAATATGTTATGCCATAAACTAAAATTTTATTATTCTGAAACTATATTATATAAAATTTCCTTATATAGTTGAACTATTTTTAATGTAAGAATGCAATAATAAATTTTTTTCTCATTAGTCGAGAATTCTTTCTAAGTTTATCTCTGACTACTGCAATACACGTTTGGATCTGGTTTCTTTGTCAATTTAAAGTAATTACAGAAAAAATCCAAACAGATAATTTATAATTCTAATGTACAGTCTTTTCCAGAGTAAGAATGCAAAACAACGTCACACGACATGTTTGAATTTTCGAAATTCTATTCTATTTTATTTAATTTCGTTGCTTAGCTACGGAAGCGGAGCGATACGCATTTAAGATCCAGTACATCGGCTCCATCTTTACTCTGGGAAATATTACAATATGCGAATTTATTTTATAGATTATGACATTAGAATTTGGCTATTCTGGCTTACATACGTTAATTAAATATAAGATCATTTTTTAGTACTTAATATTTTCGAATACAGTTCTTAAAAAGCTATAAAAAATTTAAAATACATTTGCTGAAATATTCAATTAATATATACTGTATTTATTATTACATAATAATGTGCTGAAATGTGTTAAAATTTAAAGCCTGAAACATAACGCTATAAAATACAACAGCACATAAGGTTCAAGAGGTGTTTTGTTAGATTGTACACTATGTACAGTACACTACACTATTACGTTCTTTGACGTCATTTTGCACATTACAAAAAATATTGCAGGAAAGATGTCTGATTGACGTAGAAGTTTACATTATGTCTACAAAACGAATTCACCTAAGGCAATTAGTGCATATAATTTGATATAATTAGTTCAACTAAAAACTCTATTAATTTAATTTTTAAAATGGTCACCAATTTGTAGTAGTACATTTTTTGTTTAAATTCCAGCGTGTGTTACTAGCGACATCTAGGAGTACTTTTTTAAATCACTCTAATATTCATAATTTCGTTACGAGATTTAAAAGAATTTCCCTAATGAAAATTTAATTAATTAGACGAAAACCTCATTAAAAATATTAATTGTAATTTAAGATGATTGACTTCGCTTTAAATTGTTGCAAATTTGCATTTTTACGGAAAAATTTTAATTCCTTTAAAAGAATTATTTTCAATTTTAAATTCATTAAAATTTAATTTAAGAACATTTATTTAAATACAAATTTAAAATACAATGTTGTTTGTAAAGTTTGAATAAAATTGCTTTTTAAATATAAAATTAAAGAATTAATTCTCAAAGTTTAAGAGTAGAAAATTAATAATGTAATTTCTAATAAGATATGTAGAAACATATTTACCAGCAGTAATTATCATCTTATATATAATATAAATAAGTAAAATCCAATAAATTTAGTTTTAAACTCATTATTTTTCAATTTAAAATAGAAACAAATGTGAAATTTAAAACAAGACAATGTTCTAAATGTTATGAATTTCTATTTAATCTAGGTTATATGTATTAAAATACAATATTCTTAAATTGCAGTATATTAAGACAAAAATAATTCAATAGAAGTAAAAATCTGTCTTTTTGATGTTAATATTTTCTCCATTTTTAAACTTAATATTCTCTTTATTTCATATCTTTTAACTCCAAAAAGACAGTTTTTACTCCTATTGAATATCATTCTTATATTGATATATTCACAAATTTAAAGTTCAGAATGACCATTCAGAAATTGTTTACTGTAAGCACATTCGAATATTCAACCAAAATACATTAATGTAGATCTAAATAACTTAATATTTAATTAAATTAACACCGAATTATCATTACTTCTTTAATACCAGTTATTCAAAGAATGACTAAGTTTATATAATGGAATTTATAACAGATTATTTGTTCATTTATTACATAGTATATTACAAACTGTGCACTAGAATGCAATCCTTCAGTTGCCATAATCAATAAATAGATATACTGTATAACTCATTTTAAGTATATAACAAATAAACATTCACTAAATTCTAGTAAATAGCCATTTTTATCCATCCACATACTTATTTAATTTATCATAAAATGTATTTATTACTTGTTACAATAAATGCATATATCATTTATATACATTTATCACATATCTGTAATATATTATAATGTAAAATTTACTAAAATTATGCACACGTATTGCTTTAAGAATAAAGAAAACTGCCAATTTGCTATTTTCTGCAATAAATCATTTAATATTTAGATAATCCATGCTAAATTCTTAAATCTGTGACACGGCTCTATATTCTTCCTAGATTAAAACACATATCGCTTCTTTTAAGTGTTCTTCATTTGTGCCTTGAAACTTTAAATATTAATAAAAATTCTTTAGTTTAAATAGTATATAGTATTAAATAGTAGTTAAGTATTTTGGTGTTAAATAGTGTATATCTGTAGTAAGTCCTTACCTATAGTATTAAACAATAGTGTAGTTATTAGTAATATAATACTATAGTATATATACAGTATATACCTGTAATAAATCATTGTCTGTGGAATTAAATAGTATAAATCCTTACCTAATAAATCTTTGACTTCTTTTCTGGTAACGAACAAATTCAAATTACCCTCTGAAGACTTTAAATTTATCAAAAACAATGATAACTCAAGTAAGATAACTTTCAAATGAAACATCTTCAAATGTTAACTTAGACATCGCCATTAGAAAATAACTGAGATTTTTCTTTCTGGCATTGCCAGTATACGTTAATTAACGACAACCGAAACATAATTACAATAAGACGTAAACAAAATACAAAAATGATATTCTACTTATAACAAGTAACCGAATAGATCCGCTCCGATTAAGAATAAAAGCAAACTTCCTAAAATTGACGTTAGGGGTGTTTAACTGACAATGTAATTTATAGGTAGCGACGATCTGTAAACAATAGGAAAAAAAAAAACATTTATTTAAACACGTTATAATTGAAACTTATTTCAAATATTTATTTATATATATTAAAATTTAATCGTGTTTAATTGATTTAAATTTAAAAATTATATTTATTTCCATTTTATTAAAAAATCGTTACGATGTAATCTAGAAAGATCTGGCAACACTGTAACGTCGTATGTAGTTTACGATTCGTTTGGCTTTAGCTGTTTACCTGAATCAAAGCATATATTTTAAATTTTATGAAACAGGTAAGTGTGATTTAATGTGATGACGATGTGTAGTATACTTTTTATATTTGAGAAATGCTTTTCGAGTCGCATTGGCAATGCATTATAAATTGCCACTAAGGTAAGAGGGTAAGAGGTAAAAGTTCATCCTTCATACATTCATATAATTCTCTGTAAAATGATCCGTTAAAAGTATGACATTGCCTTAATCTGTCGTCCAAACGAGGAGGTGAACGTTGTTTAATCAAAAGTACGTCAGTCTGTTGGACTCGATGACATTTTTGTTTAACTTATACATATTTGGATATATATTTTAAGCTTTTATCTCTTGTCTCTGTTCTATACGAATACATATTAAGTGGGGCAACTTTCTTGTACAAAAGAAGGACATTGTATACTGGGGGGACATTTATAACAAAATAGTTTGTTATGGGTGAGGTTCTAGCTCTCGACGACGGGTTTCCTCTCTGTTATTCGCAGCTAGGATTTTGCCCATGTTTAGATGGGATTATGAAAATTTGACATACGGAACTGTAATTATGGTACCATACTCTATATTGATAAATATTTATTACGTATTATAAAAGTAAACAAAACAAAATAAATAAACGAAGTAAATTCACATAATATTGTACGTCCTTTACAATATACAGTAATTAAATTTTCATACAGGGTATATATTTATCAAATGCAAGCTGTTTATATACAGTTTTTGATAAATTTAAAGTCTTCAGAGGGTAATTTGAATTTGTACATTACCAGAAAAGAAGTCAAAGATTTATTAGGTAAGGATTTATACTATTTAATTACACAGACAAGTATTTATTACAGATATATACTGTATATAAAACTGTTAGTCGGATTTGTTCAACTACAGTACAGTATGGTACTAAACGGAGCTGTTTAATACCTATAAACTGTAATATTGATTCATACTATGGTGAAATCAATATGTTTATGAATTGGTAGTAAAGGTTTTATTTAAATAGTGTATTTTAATAGGCAAATTTAAGGGGGGAAGTATTAAACAGAAGTCATTAAATATGTAGTAACATCAGGAAAAGGTGTTCATAGTTAAACCAGCTTTTATGTTAGGCTCAGGGCCATTTTTAACCATTAGGAGTGTGCCTAGGGCTGGGAAGATGTAAAAAAAAATGGACTAATACTGTTTTACAAAAATACATAAGGCTATGTACTGCANTTTTACTTGAACTTCTACATCAAAAGATGACAAGTTTCCAATGATTTCTCTCTCTTCATAGCTCTTAGAAAACTAGTATCTGAACAACCAACTTTATATCTAATTTATTATTATTGGATCTATAGAATTAATAATAACAATAACTATTTTATTTTGACTTAAAAAAACACAGCAACAAGATCACATTCTGGCATTAGATTACATTTGAATCTAGCCCTTCCCAGGAGTTTAGGATTGCGTAATGTATTGGCATAAGATATTGGCAGATCCAAGAAGTGCAGCTTTTTGCATTTGGCAGGTGGTGATTTTGCTGATGTTAAGTGTTTTTATGCTGGTGGAGATTTTTTGGTATAGTACCTAGTGTGCCAATCACCACAGGTCCTATTTTGACTGGTTTGTGCCAAATTTGCTGAATTTCGATCTTCTAATCTTGATATTTTATGATTTTGTTTTTTCCTGTTCATTCTCTTTGATTCTTATGATGATTATTACCTAATATAATTTTGATTAAATGAAACAGTTTTAACACAGTTGATGAAAATTTCCAGGACAAATAACTTACAAAATTTAAGAAAATTCTTAAAATATACAATACATAAGAGTGTCGTCTAACTTTGTCCTTTTGCCTGCACATGAGGAAATTAACAGTTCCACAGCAGAGTCAATCTTTTCTTAGAGGCTATTTGTCTTGGCAATTTTTATCAAATGTGTTTATATTTTTTAATTGTGAGGTAAAATTTTAAAACTTTTATATATTGTGGTGGACGAGTAGCCTCTAAGAAAAGGTTGACTCCACTGTGGAACTGTTAATTTCCTCATGTGCAGGCAAAAGGACAAAGTTAGATGACACTTTTATGTATTGTCTATTTTAAGAATTTTCTTAAATTCTTAAGTTTAACACAATACATATTAGAATATGCTCTTTCCATTTATAACTATAACTCTTCTAGTATCACAAATAATGTTGTGCTAATATAACATATGATGAATTATTAGTAGATATTTTTTTTAATAATGTTAGATTGTAGTATAAATTAAAATTTTGGACGGTTAAACTTTTTTTGAAAATATTTTCCTTATTTTCCAATCCTATAATCAACTAACATAGGATATGAAATTTTAAGAGGCTTCTTTTTATTATTACCAATTGCTTTTAATAAATTTTTAAAATTAACTAATGATATTATTTTCTAGAAACAGTCATATTTGGATTATACATTGAGTTTTCTAATTGTTATGTTTTTTTCTAATGGATTATATTTTAAAGTGAAAAGAAAATAATTTATGAACATTTTTAAGAAATTTTACTTTAGCTATCATTTTCAATACTAAATTCAGTTCAGAAAGCTACATTTATAATAAATTATTATTACATATGCAATTGTAATCGTATGTAGTTTACGATTCGTTTGGCTTTAGCTGTTTACCTGAATCAAAGCATATATTTTAAATTTTATGAAACAGGTAAGTGTGATTTAATGTGATGACGATGTGTAGTATACTTTTTATATTTGAGAAATGCTTTTCGAGTCGCATTGGCAATGCATTATAAATTGCCACTAAGGTAAGAGGGTAAGAGGTAAAAGTTCATCCTTCATACATTCATATAATTCTCTGTAAAATGATCCGTTAAAAGTATGACATTGCCTTAATCTGTCGTCCAAACGAGGAGGTGAACGTTGTTTAATCAAAAGTACGTCAGTCTGTTGGACTCGATGACATTTTTGTTTAACTTATACATATTTGGATATATATTTTAAGCTTTTATCTCTTGTCTCTGTTCTATACGAATACATATTAAGTGGGGCAACTTTCTTGTACAAAAGAAGGACATTGTATACTGGGGGGACATTTATAACAAAATAGTTTGTTATGGGTGAGGTTCTAGCTCTCGACGACGGGTTTCCTCTCTGTTATTCGCAGCTAGGATTTTGCCCATGTTTAGATGGGATTATGAAAATTTGACATACGGAACTGTAATTATGGTACCATACTCTATATTGATAAATATTTATTACGTATTATAAAAGTAAACAAAACAAAATAAATAAACGAAGTAAATTCACATAATATTGTACGTCCTTTACAATATACAGTAATTAAATTTTCATACAGGGTATATATTTATCAAATGCAAGCTGTTTATATACAGTTTTTGATAAATTTAAAGTCTTCAGAGGGTAATTTGAATTTGTACATTACCAGAAAAGAAGTCAAAGATTTATTAGGTAAGGATTTATACTATTTAATTACACAGACAAGTATTTATTACAGATATATACTGTATATAAAACTGTTAGTCGGATTTGTTCAACTACAGTACAGTATGGTACTAAACGGAGCTGTTTAATACCTATAAACTGTAATATTGATTCATACTATGGTGAAATCAATATGTTTATGAATTGGTAGTAAAGGTTTTATTTAAATAGTGTATTTTAATAGGCGAATTTAAGGGGGGAAGTATTAAACAGAAGTCATTAAATATGTAGTAACATCAGGAAAAGGTGTTCATAGTTAAACCAGCTTTTATGTTAGGCTCAGGGCCATTTTTAACCATTAGGAGTGTGCCTAGGGCCGGGAAAAAGGAAAAAAAAATGGACTAATACTGTTTTACAAAAATACATAAGGCTATGTACTGCAGCCTGCTACTTACTGTACTAGGATCAGGCTATCAGATGTAGTGAGGTGTGAGATTAAAGTATTGGAAGAGGCCTGAAATACCTGAAAGACTAGGTGTTTGCCATGGGTAAACATTCCTGATCAGGCTAATCAATATTTTTTTTTTTTTTTGTTAAGTGTTGTGTGTGAAGTATCAGTAATGTAATCGATTATCTCTGATTTACATAGTTATATTTTTATAAAATGCAATTAGATTTTAAATAAAAATATTAAATAAATATATTATTGTCTTTNAACATAATTTTTCAATAATCTAATGAAGATTACTGAATTACATTTAGACTAAAAACTATTTCTTAGGGAAATTTTTAATTAAATCAAATCATTTTCCTAAAAATATTACATCTGAATTATAAATTCTGTAGGCAGCCGGGTCAAGGAACTGTCGATGAATTGAAAAACAAAGATTTCCGACGAGAACTTGAGGACAGAGAGAGAGTTGCTAGCCATGAAAGAGAAGGAAAACGTACATCAAGAGGTGTGTTAACTTTATATGATATTTTTATGTATTTTATTAATTGGTCAACTACTTTCTGTTAGCTTAAATAAGTGAAATAACATAATTATCCATCTATTTTGTCTATTTTTGATCTCCATGCCATCTCACTTTTTTGTGGATTTCTTGCTGTATTTCTTACAATGATAGTTTCAAGATCAATGATTACATGTCAGTAGTAATTCAATGACAAATGATTTTTCAAAAAATTGTTGGATAAAGTGCTTTTATATTTGGAAGAACAAAAAATAAGTGATGTAATGAAATAATGAGAACTACTGTGTTAAAAATATATCATTAAATTTTCAAAATATAGATGTAAACAATATGATGTAAAAATTATATTTGATTTCAGTAGGATTTGAAAATTGTCCTTTTATGATTTGATGAACATTCAGACCTCAGAGTGCCATTTTCCTTCTGAAAAAGTGAGAAAAGTGAGTTGAAATACAGAAAAAGTGAATGCAATAGTCACAAAACAAACTGAAAACATGGAAGGAAAACTAAGCAAAATAACAGTAAAAGTTGTTTTTTTTTTTTACTGTTATAGTTAAATACATTTTAAAACTTTCTATATATACTGTAATATTTCCAGTAAACCATGAATACTTAATAAGTCTTTAGCTTCTTCTGTAAATAATCAGTCATGAAAGATGATTAAGATTTTTCTGGATGTTTTCAGCTTCCTCTTGCTTTTGAACACTTTTAACACTAACAAGCATGATATGTGCTGCCATTTCATGTTTCATTCATGTTCTTCTTCAGTTTTTTGTTTGCTGCTTCTAACAAAACTTAGCCTGTCTCATGTATTTCACTTTCTTTTACTTTTTTCTGTTTTAAACTCTGCTGCAGTGCCATAATCTTTTTATTGTCACAAACAGCTTTCTTTTGATGTTCTTCAAAATGTTTCTATGCTTCCTCTTCTGCTCTTTTTTTCTGTTTCTCTTCTTTTAACTTCTTTTCATTTTCCAAGTGTTATTGATAATTTCTATGTGCTAAAGCAGCTAATTTCAGTAGATCCTTTGTAATATGTACAAGTGTGGGCTTTGGTCATACATGTTTAGTCCCTCCTTAACAATCAAAAGTGAATTAAGCATTCTTTCTGACTTTCATGCTCTATCAGGAGGAAATGCCTGGCATGAAATTGAAAATCCCCCATTTCACATCAGTATTGCCATGAAAGAGGATCAATGCTGATCTCACTGGGATATCTTGTATTTCCAAAGGAGTTAACCAATTTAAAATACTGACTCCAATAATAATCAATTCTCGCATCTGTTGAGTCTGTCAAATCACTCTCAACTTACTCAAATTGAAGTAGCTTCCACTCATCCTGCAAAGTATCCTCAGCAATGTCACATGGAAGAGCTCTTGCAATGCTTACAATGTCCATACAAGTGCTTTTTTCACTAATATTACTTGGTTGGAGACATGTCAATGATTTCAACAGTTTGCATTGAATTGGAGCTTTTTCTGTCATATATGTGGAAGCCACAACATAGTGTTTTTGTAAGCAACTGTGAAAATGCAATTGATCTTTTTGAGATAATTTACTCAACTCATTGGCAACCTCACCCAGCATTGCAAATAATTTCCTCTAATGGCAAAATATTTGTCCTGTCAAATAATTTCTTTGAATTTAATACATTACTATCAGGTATAGCACACTTACAAGGGAACTGTCAGAGTGTCTTCTAATAAATTTTAATAAAATTTAGTTAATAACTACGTTAAAAGTATACAAACTCTATTTTAAATTTGTAGCATTCACTAAAAGTGTTGATCAGAGTTATTAGCAATCAAATGTTGCACTACTTTATAGTAGTTTAACACAATTACGCAAATTTTTAGAAGTGAAAAAGTCGCAAAGGAAGACGGCGATATTACATTTAGAATAAATTCTGGAATTTTCAAAAATGGTTGAAGAAAGAATAAAATTCAGTTAATAATTATGTTAAAAGTATACAAAATTTTATTAATTCTTCAACCATTTTTGAAAATTCCAGAATTTATTCTAAATGTAATATCGCCGTCTTCCTCCGCGACCCTTTTACTTCTAAATATTTGCGTAATTGTGCTAAACTACTATAAAGTAGTGCAACATTTGATTGCTAATAACTCTGATCAACACTTTTAGTGAATGCTACAAATTTAAAATAGAGTTTGTATACTTTTAACNGATTTTAAATAAAAATATTAAATAAATATATTATTGTCTTTCTTCTTATTAAATTCTGGAGATATATTTAATTTGTCAAGTGTAAATAAAGATTTATTTTATTTGATCATCCTCTGTGAGAGAAATCTCAACAAATTATTCCAAAACTATAGTAACAAAGCTCATTTGCATTTAAAGTGCTGTAAACAATGTATTGAGTTTAGGAACACAGGATTTTCCTGTTCTGTTGGACAGAGGTAGAATATTTTTAGGACTCAAAATTTCCCTCAAAAATTATTTCACATAGCACACAAAATAAAACAATAAGCCTACTGTATAATTTGCCTCACAACACTAAACTGATAAATTAATTTTTAAAAATGTTTAATTAAAAGAACATTTTAATACAATTACATGTCATTGTCACATACAATTATAAACTTGATGTAATAGTAATAGAAATAAAATTGAAGTTTTCACCAACACCATGAATGACCTATTTTTGACAATGGTGTTAATGGACTTTTTGAGGTCTGAAAATGCAAAATTTCCTTGAGAAGAATGGTCATGTGATTTTTTTTTTTGTGAAAAAGTACAGGTAACCCCCATATAACACGGTGCTTTTATAGCACGGGTTCACTCTAACACGGTTTGGGAATTGGGTAAAACCCTCGTACAACATGAAATGTAATAAAGGGTGTGTTCTTTTATACCTCCGCATAACTCCGCGCGAGCATTCTAATTGTTTTCATGGCTACTTTGAATGCTCTTTCAACAAATAATCCATTTAATGGTTAAATTTTACATTTGGGACTCTTCTTTTGCCTCTATAAAAGCCCATTTTAGAATTATAGATTCCTCCATCACGATACTATCGATAGAGTGGGCGCTGCCATCTTTCTTTCACCATCGATCCTAAATGCCTACAAACAGCAACGCACTCCCATTGCACAGCAACCGCTATTAACAAACTCATCCAAAAACTGTTACCAGTTCATGATGCTCATGCTGAGATCATCATACAGGATGAATAATCCTCTGGTAAAATATTTAGTTAAATAATAAATAAGTATTTTACCTATGAAAAAGAATAATAAATCCGATTTAAATAAGGATTTAACAGGATGTTTTTTAATTTTTGGAACCTAACCCCCCTTTTTACACTAGTTCTTTGTTTCGTATAATATGGCAATTTTTTGGAACGTAACTCCCGTGTTATACAGGGGTCACTTGTATTTAAGAAAGGCACCCCATTTTTTGCAAAAAGATATAATTTTTTTAGAATTTTTGACTGACTTTTTCATTATTATTTTTTAACATGAGCGTATTTTTATGATATTTTAAAATATATTTTGAAATTATTTTTTATATTTTTTTTTATAGATTTATTACAAAATGAAAAATGTTTAAGGGAAATAATGCTTATAAAATGATAACACTTCTGTTTAGCTATTTAATCAAGACAGTTCAGAAAATCTTTTTAATTGTAGTTTTCTTACTAATTTGCAAATTTAGTGTGTGGGGGAACAAATGAATATTTTGTTTTAATTTGATACTATATTAAATTTTACCAAAAAGAGTTTCAAAATAAAAATGAATATTCTTTTTTGGTTTTTTTTAAAGTTCTGTTTCAGTTTTGGTGTTTTGAAAATATCAAAATTGTGGTTTGGTAACCAAGACTAGCTTGTTTTTATGCCAAGTTACACCTGATGTGTTTGACTGAGACATTCATTGGTGACTTCTCAACCTAGTGAACAGAGCATGTTTCTATTTACTTGCTTGATCTTTTGCTTTTTGGATTCCTAGGCCAAGTATTTTATTAAGCATTCAGATTAGTTTAGTACTCAGCCAAGTATGCTGTCTTGGTTGAACACTTGTCAGGTATAAACTAGGCATTACTGTAAGCTCATAACAGTCAGTATGCAGCAATGTAATAAGTGACAGCAGATTAGAAGTGTAGTAAACAATGTTCCAATATCACTTTTAAAACACATGGTTTCCACATTTTGACTAATTTCCCCAATTAAAGTCTGTTCCATTTTTTTGTGGCTATTGCCATATTATATTTTCTATATTATATTATCTAGGACTGCTGTAATCTCCTCAAATCTCATTTGCATGATTGGACACATTCTGCACCTCTGCTGTTGGCCATGTAAATGAAGATAAATGTCGCTTTAGGATACTCCTTTTTTGGGCACTTAAGCGAGTAGCCACCAACATGGACTTTGACTTATATTAAAACTTTTATGCAGTTTAAAGGGGAATAATTTCAATGATAGGCCACACAAGTGAGGTGGTCACAAAGCAAGTTTTTACTATATTTCTTAATTAACTGTAAGTTATAAAACATTAAATAGACAGTAAGTAAGCCTTAAACTCAATGTTAGAATTATTACCAACTGTTGCACAATGCCACCCTAAAAGTCTGTTCAGAAATTTTTACCAGTTGCTAACAGATTCACCAATCTTTAAGGGTAGTTAGAGAGTGACTGACCAACTGCTGATGTCATTTACCATTACCAATGACCCAATCAGTAGCATTTCTGAACAGACTTTAATTGACTTCCAAATTAACCAGATCATTTTAGATTATTCTCAAATGTATGCAAAAATGTATGTTTGATCAATCTAAATATTGAGTTTTTATAGTTGATGGAAAGCAAGATAAATGGCAATATTTAAATTCTAATATATTTTTTATTTATATAGAACAGAATTTTATTTTATGATATTACTTTATTTTTAATTTATTAACTTTATAATCTTATTATATAATTTATACAGATAAGAATTGACTGTTTTTATAATGAGCAGTCTTCTG